ATTGAGCTGGAACCAACTGATGCCAGTGCCGTACAATTATCGACGTGATAGTGAGCAGAGTGTAAAAATGGCTAGCTGGATCCGACGCTCAGCTCCGTGGTGACAGCCGTAGTCTATTGTGTTGGGATACGTCATTTCAGCTGACATTTGATTCCTAAAGGCACTTTTAGAGGCGGTTTCATTTGGGAGGGTCACTCCTCGCCTAGAGAAACGTAGACTTACCCAATAAAGGTCTAGAACATTCATGTGCTCGCTGTTCAAACGCTAGGGCCTTCCTCACTTCTACTGCTGGACGTTGATCTTCTCGTCCACAATGCAACGGTGGGCGTGGCAGAATAAAGCCCACAGGTATGCGTTTATAATATTGCGGCGCTCATGTCGTTGAGAGGTGTGGGGAGCTGAGGGGATATTGAAGTGAGTGAGCCTCTTACAATACTTGGGACTAACAAGGGAGGTCGTACAAGGTGTGCCAAGCTTTTTCAAAATGGTTTCTTGCATGACATTGGGGCACATATGGGGACCACAAAGCATGGTTCATTTTTCCTGAACGGCCCTCTGAATACCAGAAAAGGGGTCCCTAGTTCGATTCCTTCGTGGTGACAAATTTTTTGTCATTTGGATTGACCGGTTCAAAAGTTAGTGAATTGAGTCGGCTTGATAATTAGTACCATATTCATGATTAGGACCGTCAGTAACCCTTACAAATAGACTTTGATTGAAAAACTGGTGAAAAAGGTGTGACTAGGGACCCCCTTTTCTGGTATTCAGAGGGCCGTTCAGGAAAAATTAACCATGGTTCTGTGGTTCCCGCATGTGCCCCTATATCATGCAAAAGACCGTTTTGAAAAGCTTGGCACATCCTGAACTCCCTTCCTTGTAAGCCTCAAGAGGAAGGGATTCGGAAGAGGATGTATTGATTGTTTCTTGACGTTTCTCTTCCTGACTTGGGTTGTTCCAAGTGTCCTCTAGCGGTATATTAAATCGGCCTGTGCGGTATTGGAAAGGGTTATAACCCCTGGATTGTGCGCGTTACAACAGCGCTACTTGCCAGCACTCCACTTCTATGTCTGAGACAATTAGCTATGAGAACAAGAGATTATAGAGTACAAGCAGAGATCACATTTCACGAGTATCTGATATTATTGGCGGAAGTGAGGTAATGACTAGCAGCATCGTTCAGCACGCACACGATTTGGTGGTGGCATCCTCGGTACCCGTCAGGAGGCCATCGCGCGGCGGAAGGCCAGAGATGCGGACGAGTAGAGCAGCGCGTACTGTAGCAATTGCGCGTCAAGGTGAAATGGTATGCATTACAGTACGTCCACACCACACAGCACGCGCTGCGACTCGTCCACATCTTTGCCCTCTCGCCGCGCAACGGGCCTCCTGTCGGATACCCGACTTCTTCGGCTACTGCCCGTAAGTTATTGTGTCGGTCAACTCGCATTCAAAAGATCACTACGATTCTCAAGGAAATGGAATGCAGCCCATCCCAAACACTGCTGGCTGAATGCTGGACGCTTTATCCTTTGTCTGATTTTCTATTACACTTTCCCGATGAGCTGTCCAGTCGGCGCTTACGTGTCGTTTTTGATATCTGGAATTTTGCCATGTTATAAAAGTCTTATGTTGAACCAAAATTTGTCACAAATAATTTGTCACAAATTTTATTCGCTCACTAACAAGAAGAGGAGGCTGCAAAGACTGGTGGACTCGCCACAGGTCCTGAAGACGACGAATTGTCGAAACGTTGACCAATAAACGTGTTCCACCATAACAACCTGTATGGCACAGAAGAAACAACACAATATCCGAAATGCCCAGGTTCCAAGAAAACCGAACATGGAATTCGTCACAAATCTTCATTTCAAAACAAATATATATGACCATAAGGTACAATCATGAAAGTACTGACTACCCGTATCAATTAATCACGGATACCACCGGTTTTATATAAGTTGATAAGTTTGTCCAACACTTCACGTTGATTCAGACCTGGAACGAACGAAGTAAGCTAGAATGCGTCACGCACGCGACTGCCATGCACACAATACTACATGTAATAGCGGCGATTGGGGTACCTGACAGGAAGCTTTTCGCGCGGCGACAAGGCAGAGATACCGACGGGTCAGCTAACGAGTCGTACTTTCGCGATTAGCGCCAAGTTAAACAAAGTGTACCGTGGTAGGGGGCGGAAGTGGTGTAGTGGCAAGTGGCACGCTTACCACGCGAGCGGTCCGGGATCAAATCCTGGGTCGTGAGTCGCCCGGGCCAACCAAGCCTTCCATCCCTCCGGGGTCGGTTAATTGGTACCAGACTAAAAAACACTGACTTGTACATCGGCTGGCCCCCGCAAGTCATTGTATAGGCCACATCGCATTCAAACGCCACTACGAATGTACAAATGGAAGTAGAATGCGTGCCGCATCCCAAAAAGGGATTGATCAACGGCAAATGCTTTATCCTTTATTTAAATAAATTTTAAATGATTCTAAATTTTCCTATATAAATTTTATAGTAAGTCCCACATCGCGCAATATGCGCTCCGGCTCGTCCGCTGACTCGTCTGCGTCCTTGCTTTTTCGCCGCTCTACGGGCCTCCTGTCAGGTACTCCGTCGATTACGACACGGTTGGTATACTCACTGCAGTGCAGCAACCTGCTAATTCCTAATAGGTCACCTCATTTTCGTGAATGAGCCAAGGATCTACGGACTACCCAATCATTCTGTTTCCCATTCTGTTTCTCGCAACGAAGTACACGACATGGCACACGTGGTGAAATTTTCAATGGAAAGACAGTATCACTTGTGCTATAGAATGCTCCTGATTTGAAGCAATGTCAGTGCCACGTCAATTTCTGCAATTGCACAGCGTACAGGTAAGGGGAACAATTATACGTGAAAATAGAGGTCGTCGATGGGAACTGATCTTAAGGAGTCAGCAACAAATTGTCGACATATCCTATTACGCCACATATGCCATCTATATTTACGCCCTAGGAGGGCTTCACACGCAAAAAAGCCGATCGGTGCAGAAGGGATCACTGTAAAAGTTGTGAACTGTATTTTCAGTCGCGGTCGTGGGAATTGATAATCAATCCACTGTTACGGTTTTTTGTCGCCACGTACAATTCTAAGATAGTGAGTGTGTAGGCTAGAAAGCGGGCCGCAAAGGTTCTCCATTGGTGGACAACACTCATCAAAGCGCCTAAAGGCAGCTCTGGGATTAGGCGCGCTCTCCTGTTTCATCCTGAGGGTAGTAGACAGGCGGACAAGCGTTGATGTCGCGCCCCTTTTGCCGCTTGAAAGTGCGCGACAAAGGCGCAAGGAGCTCGTCCGACCCGCAACTCACACCTTCCTCTCGCAAGCCCCACCCGGTCGGTTGCCGCGCTGGCGCTGCTCGAAAAGCACGGGCACATTCGAGGCAGCGGTCCCGTTGTGACCCAATTTTATTGCACTGGAAGCAAGTTAGGTACGTGAAACTCGTCCTACGCGCCCCTATGCCAAGGTGCAACGCGGCTGAAGTAGAGGAGGTCTCTGTGCGGGGTTTATTCGCTGGTCTCGTTTGCATTCCTTCTCTATCCCAAGACCATCTCCCACCTCTAGCTTCATTCGTTTTCTACATCTATTTTATCCCGAATCTTGCCTCTAATCGTAAGTGTGTCGTCGGACCGCCTTCAATTAACGATCATCAACGAACGACCTGGTTATGGATCGCCTTCCTGCCTATTAGTAGAGATTTTTGGTCGGACTTTTGGACTTTGGGACTTTTTTGTCGACCCACCTTCAAATACGTATGGGGCACTGAACAGTATACCGCATGTGCCACCGGCGGTGATACCGAAGAAGATGTACAGTAACAATCGATCGATAATCATCGCTACAAACCTCCAGTCATCACAATGCTGAAAGCAATAATTGATTTTGATTTGTTTTCGATTGTAACTGCTGTTTTTGGCCGCATCGCCTTGCGAAATTTTTAAAAAATTCTGTGTCATGAATAAAATTTTTGCCCCTGGTGATCTGAAACCCGCACTTTTCGCTTTTTTCGCAAAGGGGCTGGAACTTTCGCAAGTCCTCAGTCGAGGGAAAAAAAAAACAAAAAAAAACCAGTAGATGCCAAAAGTAAGACTTTAATCTTCAGATATCGGACAAGGCTGTGACGGTGCTTCCAGCAAAAATCGCCGGGGTCTCCGTTGCCCTTTCAAGCAGCACTTGAGGTCACCTCAAACGCCAGCCGAACTGAACTATCTCCACCACCATGCCTTTGATTGTACCGTCTAATTCCGGCTATCCGCAGAATCTCCATTAAAGGAGGAATTCACGATTAGAATGAAGGTCGAAGAAGGAAAATTCACCTAGTTGAGGGACCCACGGACCTCCTGAGGGTGCGAACTGACGCGCAATTGGCATGAAAGATTTGACCTCGGCGATCTAGCATGGCTCACTCTTGGCGCGGTTGGCGGGGTACGCCCACCGACTATCTAATCACTCGCCGCAGGTCTATACGTGGCGAGTGATAGCAAGAGAGCGTAGTGTTGAAGAGGGCACAGCGTAAGAGTCGCATCAATGAGCGTATTGCGCGTTGCTTATTGCTTCGCCCCCTACAGTCGGTGCCAGCCGTTGTTCGGCTACCATCTCAGCGGTGAGCTGTCGCGTCCACGCCGCCTTTGCTAGAATAGGTACTACGTTCTCCCCAAGGCTGATAACCGGTGGCAGGTCGTTCTTCACCGGGTAAAGCGAGGAGGCCGACCCAAGACGAGGGGGAGGTCCCAGTCGGCGGAGCGCCCGCCATAGAGCCGGCTGTGTTCGACCCCGTCTGGGAGAAACCAGTCATCTTATCGTGCAACCATTTGGCCTGGTCTACTCTTGAGCAAGGACGCAACAAAGAGCCTACATACATAAAGGCTGGAGAAATCCTCTTTTAGGCAAAGCTTTTGCATGATCTTGTTGTCAGTTTTTATCAAGAGGTAAATAGAAAGCTAAAGCACATAAATTACCATTTTGTATTCTTTTTCCTGTACAATATGATCCGTAATGTACTCAATAGCGTCGATGGCACGAAGCGCATCAGGTGAAAGCGGATAGAACATCGCCGTGTCAGGATCTTGAGGAATGTCATTCGCACTATTCAGTACTTTCACTGAGGCAGTCCTTAAACAATGATTTTCACAGGGATACGTTTTGAACCAAAACATTCTATCGGTACCAAAGATATCAGCACCTGTCGTCAGCACTCGGACACAATGGATGGTGTGTTGCACGATTGAGAGTGAATTTGCCAACTCCTGGTAGCTGAGCGACAGCGACAGCTCGTTTTTTCCGGCTCATCAATTTCCGGGAAGCCGACTTTCGGTCGTTGCATGCACATCAGAAACGGCATCCACTTGAAAAAAAAATAAAAATTAATCCCACA